TCCCTAGTTTAAATGGGTCTTTATATTTGGCTTCACTATTGGTCTTACTGCAGCAGCATGTCACATGGGAGGAGTGGAGGAGCCGAGACTGAGACCTGCTGAATATAAACACACAGCAAATGACTTCGATCACTTGATGGTTTGGGTGTTTTCTAGCTTTGGATGCAGTAGGGACGGGGTAAGCTGGCCATACACTATACAAATTGTGGGTGCTGCTGTCGGCACCCTTTCAGCCAGCAACCCTCGATCAGCTGATCAAAGGTGCCGAATGGAAAATCTTCGAACAAACAATGAGCTGCCGGCTCTGTTCGGGTATTCTGACAGCGTCCATCATCCACATATAATGCAAACAGCGGCTACTCCCGCACTGCAAGGGTTAACTATTAGTTTTTATCTAGGTGCTAAAAAAAAGTTATACTCACCTGAACCATTGAGCCGGCTTGCTCTTACACCAGCCCTTCCAGTCTTTCTCCCTCTCTGCTGCAGCAGTCTATGGTCCCTTAAATTATCACAATCTATACTCCGAGTACATTCCAATGCTGCAGTGGAGGAGGAAAGAGGCCACAGTGATCGGAGCAGCAGGGTGCCGGCCCATCGGACCAGGAGAGTATAACTTTTGTTGTTAGCCCCACTGCAAGGGTTAAACATTTTGCCCGGAGTTCTTCTTTAAAGCTGCTAATTTTCACAAACATATCTTTAGAAAAATGCTGTAAAATGTACGAAGATTCCCTTTAATACTCACCACCAAAAAGCACTCGCTGAGCGTGTGAGCAGGCCGGACCTCACAGGGGAGATAGGAATCTGCAAAAATCCACAGAAGTGGAAACGTCAGACTTTTATACAGTGCAGGAGACGGTCTATGATTGTGCAGTATTGGAGCTCTATGTCAGTGATGGGGGAGCTGCAGCTTTGTTTGCTCTGGGGAGAATACCAGTCTGATGTGCCACCTAGTGAAGGAGAGGCTACGGCATTCAGAGGCAGCTTAGTCTGGGCAATACAATATATTACTTGGCTTATACCAGGGGTAGCCAAACTCCGGCCCTCCAACTACAAATCACATGCATCTCCCTCTGGAAGTCATGCCTGTGGCTATTAGAATGCTTCAATGCATCATAGGACTTATAGGTTTGAGATTATATATATATATATATGATTAGGTCACTCACTCCCGTGATGGACTACAATTGTAATACAAATTAGTAAACTAAACGTGAGATTGTAGTCCATCACAGGAGTGAGCTTGGAGGGGTGGCTACTTTACAACACACAGGGACCATGGGGACCAAAAGTAGCCCCCTCCAGAAGGAAGGACAGTGTCAGCACCAATGCAGAGATGATTGGAGGATCTACAGCCGAGTGATACACAAATAAGGTACATTTTCGTTACTAGTCAAGGTACTTGAATATATTTTTAAGATTTAACTGCTGAGTTTAGGATCACTTCAACTTTGATGCATGCTTGTTGTGCACTAGTGCCTTAACCTCCCTGGCGGTATTCCCGAGTGTGGCTCGGGGTTCATTTTCAGTACTAAAAGCGGTAACCCCGAGCCACACTCAGGATTACACTGTGCGTAACTTACCCTGTCCATGAGCCCAGCTGTGTCTGTCTTCCGTCCCTTGCGAGCGCCCGCGTCGCAGGGGGGTGGAACCGGCGGGAGATTTTAAAGTAAAAAAACGAAAAAAGAAATAGAAAAAAAAAACGGACATAATTAGACCGCCAGGGAGGTTAATAAAAGTAGTAAAGCCAGGACGCAGCCTCGGCTTTCATATTTAAGAGCAGGTTAAGCCCTTCCTGATTGCATACCACATATATGTGGCATCACAAAAGTGGCTTGATTCCGTGGTGCCGCATATACGCGGTATGTTTTTGTGCTGGGAGCCGAACCCGGAACTGAGAATAATCGGTCACTGACAGCTGCTGGCCTTGTTTGGGAGGTGGGAGGACTGGCTCCTGATCAGTGATCACTGGTTTTCACAACACTCCGCTGTACTGTTTCTCCTCACTAGGGGAGAACTCCAAGAAGGAAAAAAATAGAAACAGTATTATATATATATATATACATACACACACACACATATACATACATATACACACACTTTTTCTAATATAAATTTAGCTGTATATATCTTTTCCCTGACCCACCAACAACCCCCCAGAATAAATCCTCCTACTCCTGACATACATGGGGGTACCACATATGAGTTCATGATTGGATGTTGGTACCTGTAGTAGGGCCCAGCAAAACCAATGGCAGACGCACTCATCAATTTGTTACCAGCTTTACAGCAAGGTACACACGGAAGGGCTTCAAACAGTAAAACAGCAAAAATTTCCAAGCACACTCACCAGCCAGCATGCAAAAAAAAAAGATGATTGATGAGTGCGTTTGCCATTTGTTTTGCTTGACTGATTTGGTGCAGTGACGCATGGGGGGGGGGTCTCAGCAGCCGTTGTGATTTGCGGGGTCCCTTGTGCGTACCTGTGCCTTTAAGGGAGGTTGGGCTTCCTCCTGACAAACCTGCGCCCAATTTAATCTTTTGCCCCATGTGCTCCAAGACGTGGCTGTGCGGCTTTCACATTTTCTGGGCGCACATGGGAAGGCTTACAACAATACAAAACACAAAAAGATCCCCAGCGCACCTGCCAGCTAGCCTGCAACAAAACGAATTACCCTGTCAACAGTATGCGTTCATGTGCGCCCTGCTATATAGGCTGGTTATAGATTCATGCGGGTTGCCATCTTTTTCTAGTTTGACTATTTTTGATGTGGGGATGCACTGGGGTCACAGCGTGCATTTTTGGTTGCTGGGCCCCCAGTGCGTCCCTGCACCTTTTGAGGAGGAGTTGGCTACCTCCCAGGCACACCTGCATTGAATTTATCAACTTCATTAATATGCTCACACTTGGAGACTCATATAAATAGAGTTAGGACCACCCTTTGCAGAGCTGCCTTGGCGCGGCAGTGTGGCTTCTACATATTTTTAGCCAAAGGTTTGTGCAACTAAAACCTCTGATTTGAACGCATACTGTTGACAGGGTAATTCGTTTTGTTGCAGGCTGGCTGGCAGGTGCGCTGGGGATCTTATTGTGTTTTGTATTGTGGTAAGCCTTCCCATGTGCGCCCTGCTATAAAGGGCGGTTATAGATTCATGCAGATTGCCATCTTTTTCTAGATTCCCCACTCTCCTCTCTATTCCTCCAGCACTGATTGGAGGGACAGACAAAGGATGGGGCGGGCACAGCTTTCTCTGGCTCTAGAACAAGGGTAGCCAAACTCCGGCCCTCCAGCTGCAGTGAAACTACAAACGCCATGATGCATCTCTCTCCGGGAGTCATGTCTGTGGCTGTGAGAATCTTGCAATGCCTCATGGGATTTGTAGTTCCACCACAGCTGGAGGACCAGAGTTTGGCTCCCCCTGATCTAGAGAGGCAGAGCCAACTGTCAATCAAGTAGCGGGGTGGATACCAACAATATTGTCGCAATTTTTCCTGGCTGCAGCACAGCTCTGCACTGTGAGCAGAAAGCGGGTCACAGGAATACATTGGTAAGTATCCTCATGTGACCCAAAAGAGAACTAATGCCAAAAAAGGTTTGGCCATAGTTGTTTTTATTTCTTCCAGTCCCAAAGTCTTCTGCCATGTACACGGAATGTAGCTATAGTATACAGCAGGGGTAGGGAACCTTTACAGTCCAGCTTTAGTATAACTTCATATCCCATCATGCATCTGCCTCTGGATGTTATGCCTTTGGATGTCAGAGTCTTGCAATGTTTCATGGGACTTGTAGTTTCACCACAGCTGGAGTGCTGAGATTGCCTTCTCCTGATATAGAGCATGTCAAAGGTTAATGATAGGTGGAAGGAAACACCCACAAGAGATAATCTAGGTGAATGCTACATAGTGGCAGCTTCCTGAAACACTGCACCTCAGTCAGGTCATCCTATGGACTATGGAGTGTGACACGATTCTCCTGTCAAGGACAACGCATAGTAAACCAGCCCGGCTCCTCACACACATATATATACCGACACATCCTATGTCAGTAACACAGTAACATCAGAGGACCCCAAAAACACACTGAGGCCCCGTTCACATATAGCGACATACCTTTTGCAGCGGATCCGCACGGCCGGGATAGCGCGACTTTCGGGGCGACGTTCCAGCGACGATCCAGCGACGGTAGCGCGACCTTCCCCGTCGGGCTCCATAGAAAAAAAGCAAAATCGCGCAAAATCCGCCGAAAAAAGGGTCCGGTAGAAGCGACTTGCGACCGCGACGCGCGACATGGAGTTAAGACAGCTCCATTGAATAACATTGGCCGGCGACTTCTCGCGATATCGCGCGGCAAAAATGCGCGATATCGCGGCGGAAATCGCGCGACAATTCGCTATATGTGAACGGGGCCTAAGACCCCATTCACACTGAGCGACATGGAAATCGCGCTACTTTGAGCGACATTGAGCGACTTCTTCCTATTGGGCTGTATGCAATCAGGAGCAATATCGCTCAAAATCGCTCTAAAAAAGGGTCATGTAGAAGCGACAAGCTACCAGCGACGAGCTACAAGCGATATTGAGCGACATTGAGCGACGAGATGTGAACAGCTACATTGAAATGTATTGGTGAAGCTACATAGAGCGATATAGTGCGGAAATATGAGCGATATCGCTACAAAAATCGCGCGATAAATCGCTCAATGTGAACGGGGCCTAAGGGGAATAGATAAAAACTGTAGCAGACAGAATCTGGAGGGTTGTCCATGGCAACCAATCATATTCTCTCTTTAGTTTGTTCAGTTGAGCTTTGAGAATGAAAGAGAGAAGCTGATTGGTTGCCATGCACAGCTGCTTCAGATTTCATCTGCTCCAGTGTTGATAAATTCCTCTCATTGTGTGTCTGCAGAGATTCTCTTTCTCTCCATTCTCTCTCGATCTCTCGCTCCAGATCTCTCCAGCTGTATAGATATAGATACACTACATAACACACAATAATACCGCAGACCTTCCTGTGTCTTGCTGTGACCTGCCTGGTAATTATCACCCACACCTTGAAACTAAACACAAGAAGGGAGGAAGTGCAGAGTCCTGAGGCCGCCGAGGATTCCATTTCCAGGTACAATGATCTGAGTGGAGTCAGGAAGGCTCAGGAACCTCTGTCAGGCTTTTATCACAGTCCCTGTCCACTGAAATGGAGGGAAAATCTGGAGAACCGGAATATCGGGGACATTTTTCAATGGGGGACACTTGTGACAGTGACTATTTAAGAGGAAACTTCCTTTATCCTGGAGAGATTTGCATGAACTTCCTGTTGTGCCTCTGTGACAGGAAGTAAAAGGATATTTAGGCCCAAGAATAAAAATGTAATATGTAGCAGCTTACAGTCCTTAGATATGGCGGCTGCATTCGTTTTCATTATAGTCCCATCGCACCCTGGACAATTGTCAGAGGGGGCTACATCATCAGGCATACAATGTTATCAGGGATATGCACCCCTCAGCTGTGTATATAGCTATAGGGATATGCACCCGTCAGCTGTGTATATAGAGATCTAGGGATATGCGCCCCTCAGCTGTAGCCAGCCAACCTTGCAATGAATGAAAATATGGGAGGAGGGTGATTCTGGTGGTGATTCTGGTGGTCGGGTCACCCCTCTTTTGATGACTGGATATGGGACGGTCATTCTGTCACTCGGTGTCCCCACTTCCCCTCACAGAGCTGAATGACATGTGTGACCTTCCCTCCCTGTCCTCACCATCCCAGCGGTCACTGCGGCCTCTCCTCCTCCTATCCGGGGGACTCCGTTGGTCAGGCTCCGCACTCCGGCCAGTGCAGCTCCATGACGTCCGCAGCAGCGCAGCCTCCATCCCCATCCCCACACCATACTCATCCCGCTCCTCTCCGCCGCTGCCACACCAGCCGGCTCCTCGCAGCCTTCAAGCCACGCCCCCTGACCCGGGGCCGGAAGCTGCCAGGCGGAAACCGGAACTGAGGAAGGCGAGGCGGCCATCTTTGATGAGGGTAAACAGTGTACTTTTTACAGGCACGTCATTATGGTAATAATCCCTTATTCACAGACACCCCTGGACAGTCCCTGGTAGTGATCCCAGCATGACACAAGGTCTTTATTTAAGTTGTTTGATAATATTCAGAAATATGGTAGTACAGTTTCCAGCTCTTCCTTATTTCCAGGGACACTGTCAGATGTATGGGGTGTCCCTGGAAATGTCTCTTTCAGAACTAACTATATGCCCGGTTACAGTTACATTGTATCTGTAGAGTGGGGGAGGGTTACGCCAGGTTGTTATTGTTGTCTGTGTCCCCATTGAGGAGATGTACCCCTCTGCCTGTAATCTAGATAGAAAGTGAAAGGAATCCCCACATTTTAGACTTGTCCCCCAAACAATAGGTGAGAGGAAATATTCCACTGGAGACACCTGTCAAAGAGTATCTGTAAAAAATAAGTCAGGGCAAGTGGACTTGCTGTATTTTTCTTGAAGACGTTTCACTGGTCATCAACTGTCAAATAGTAGACCTTACCTTGGGAGACTTCCTCCAACTTCCTGTTGTTTCTTGGAAACAGGAAGTGAAGGGAACTTTTCCAAATGGTTAATA